GGGGGTAAGATTGAAGCACCTATACCTTTGCCTGAAGGCATCCGAAGTTCTTTAATTGACAGCTTCAGACTCCCGTCTTGCCTGGGTCGCTGATGAAGAGGAAGCAACTAGTGCAGGAGGGGTTCGTACAACAGTTGGAACCCGAACTGAGGAACCAGAGTCTGCAAAGCTTGAACAGTGTCACAATGGCTCGCCGGGTTTAGGTGCGTGATCTTCGTGCTCAAGATCTAAAGCCAAGATCTTAAGCTTGCCGTGTGAAGGTAAAGCAGAAAGCCCAAGAGCAACATGTGCTGCCCTGCCCAACCAACGAGAAGCTTGTCCGACGAGATACCTTGTTGCCATCAAGCTCAAAAAGCTCTCCATCTTTCCTGGCGAATGAGTCGTTGAGGTTTCTTGGTCAAGGGCACAGGGGTTCAAAGGTTCGTGGCTTTCAGGTTTTGAGCTAGGCTTCTAGCGGCTCTAGCGAGGTTCGGCTGCATGGAGTCAACTTTAGGAAAGGAGGAAAAAGCCTCCGGTCCCTTGGAGACTAACAGCCTTGAGTCGACGACCTCTACATTGAGGATTGGCTCCTCAAAGATTTTTGCCCAACGCTAGAACAACAGAAGTCCCAAACACACAGCAGTTGCAGTACAGAGCCACACAACTCCACGTGTTTGTGTAGTGCTCTGGGCGGAGTAAGCAGCTACACATGGATGCACATAGCTCACAGGAATGTGCTGTCAGGACACCCAAGCTGACAGAAGAATGCTATCCGCAGGATGAGTACAAGCTGAAGCTAGCTGGCAGCTAGCATATCTAGCTATGTGGCTCACGGTTCGACTCCTGTAAAGCATTCAGAGTGGACATCCGGAGCCAATCAGCTACGAGACCACCGAAATTGTTGAAACTTCTCCTCTTCCCAAACGAGGGATCGAACAACTGCACCAGTGGTCCGATTACACCCTCACGCACATTCTCAAACTGTGCATGCACGCACACACATGCATGCATATATATATGTATGTATATATATATATAAATATTCATACACACACACCCCTACATTACATGCTTGTGTAAACGCACATATGCACATCATGTATATTTATATACATATATGTATGCATGTATCCTTGCATCTGCTTGCGGGCTTGGAGATTTCCTAACCAAGCGAGCTATCTGGCACTCCACGAAGCAGATGAAGTGCCTGAGATTGCTCTGCATGGCTAAAGGCTGGTATTGTCGCGGAGGCTGTGTTCTCAAACTTTGAGCATTTGGGGACTATAAGCTATTGATGCACTACGCATTGATCAGACCCAACTTAAACCTCGCTAAGGCCAAAACCATACGACCTCCCAGACCCAAAACCTTCAAGCTTTCCGAAGCCCCGCACGAGACCATACCGTACATACTATACTAAACTATACCATGCTATAGCATGCCGTGACATACCATACTACACCGTACTATATCGTACTGTACCACACTGTAGCGCAGCATGCCATTGCCATGCCATACCAGACCATGGCCTGGCTTGGTATGGCATAGCATGCCATGCCATGCGATACGATACTATGCTTTACCATGGTTTCCATACGATGCTATACCATCCTGGACTGTCTTAGGCTTCGGCCCTTCGTCTGGAGGACACACGGCTAGGGCGGAGGACGTCGGATTTAAGACTGAAGGGCCTGGGCTTCAAGCCTGATAGACTGAAAGGCAACGAAGAGATGGTCTCATGCTTCGTGAACGTATGAAGGGGGTTGCAGAGTTCTGTCGGCAAAAAGTGGGAGTGCGCCTGTGGGCCTGGATTGGGTTGTTTGGCATAGCACCTCTTGAATTCGGGCGTAGGATTCAGGAGTGTAGCGTTCAAGGTACGTAGAGGTCTGAATAACCGTCGATACTGCCACGTCGTGGCGTCTATATAGTGATCGCAAAATTTGGAATAGAATCTCACATCGTTTTCAAAAATAGTATGAACCTTCAGCCCTGTATGTAAGTATCAGGGAAAAGGCAAGCAAACTCGCAGCCTGGTCCAAGCCTGCCAGGGGTCTAGGTAAGGTCGAGTGCGAGTCTGATGTCTGTACGTGTCAGACTTGGGGCACACGCTGCCGCATGCGTATGGGTTTTTGTTGCGTACGCAGGTTATTGTCTCCAAGCCATATTCAACCCAAAGCCCAAGACCAGCACCCCAAGCTGTTGAACGTAGGATCGGGGGACCTTATGCGGCTTTTTCACGATTTCCCACTATCCAAACTTATTCCCTGATCCTCCCGGTTGTGGCCCTTTTTAGATTGCGGGCCGAAAATACATATGGCAGGGTTTGGGGTGTTCCGCGGACGGCTGGGTCTAACGTACTCGTAGCCTGGGGAAAGTTCAACACAGAGCTCCTTGTCCTTGCGTATCAGCTCATGGACCACGCTGAACTTACCTGGAATCCACAATCCCAGGCCTGTAAGGAGCAAAACCTCTGAGAAGGAACTCTCGTCTTAGCCCGACCACGCATCGACATCTGCATCTGCCTCGCAAGTGCCACGAAGAGGTTGTCGAAAAAAGCTTGGGGTTTATCGTGAGCAAACAAGAGCTACCAATCGTACAACGACCCATAGAACTTGCACAAGCCCGCAGGTGGGCGAGGACCGGACCCGCGCATTCGAACAGGCAGCGCTACCGAACCTGAGGCATCCCTTGACCTGGACACCAACCGTGCCCAGGAAACAGCCAGATGGAAGGGGCTCGGTCTGTCCCTCTCTCTCTCTCTCTCTCTCTCTCTCTCTCTCGTGCTCTATTCCTCCCTCTAGACTCCTAGAAGTACTGGCGTCTCTCTGTCTTGCTTGTCTTGCTTCACTCACCCGATCGCATGCTGGCGAGCTCCTTTTCGAGCTATGCGTCCGTCGTCGTTGACCCAGTGGTACAGTTCACCATAACCAGACCAGGCCAGCTGAAGGCACTGGAAGTTCGTTCAAGCCATGGGACCGTGCTCTAGCAGCGCCGAAAGCTGAGCGCCCCAAAGCATCCAAACCGCTCTGTCGCCAGCTATCATGTGGCATCATCGTTCTGCTGGTCCTTCCAGGCTGTAAAGACGTAAGCTGCCAATACCACAAGCTGCACTTGCACGGCGTTGAGCACACCCTGCACGCCGGCTGATGGATATGCTGCAGTCACCGATGCTGCCAGGCCAATCTCATAGAGCCCATAGAAAGCGAGAGAGGCATCTCCAAAAGGCCTAGAGGTCAGCCTCGTTGCAGCAAAAGCAATCGGACCGGTTGCCTGCCAGCGAGTGGAAGCGCCAAAATTCACAGGAAACCCATCGAACGAAGTTTCTTCAGATTCATACGGGAATACCGGTACAAATGATAGATAAGACTACATACAAGCAACTAGCACAGCCTAATCCAACTGCGAAGCGAAGTGCACACCAGAACAAGGCTGCAAGTTGACCTGGCAGTGGGAGCTCCTGAAAGCTTGGCGCACCAGCCATGGCAGGCAGCAGGTTCGGTCCAAGCAGATCGAAAAGATGCGCGACACCTGCCGCACCATAACAAACGCCCATGAGCTTCTGAAAGTCGTCTGAGTTCGTCGCAGCAGAGGACGAGCTAGCACTGGCAAACCTGGCCCTGCTTCGCGCAGAAGCTGCAGCTACGAATCCAACTGCCATGGACACCCCGGCCAAGGACGTTCCAGGACGACTGGAAGCACTCTGCCCTGACCTTGCAGGGCGCTGGAGCCTCACGTCCTCGCGGCGGGGCGATTGTGGGCTCGGAAGGAAGCAGCCAGAGATGGCCCAACACCAACCCAAAGCAGCGCAAAGCAAAGCAGGACAGGAGGATCTGAAGCGAGCCATGGTCAGACCAATTGGAGACTTGATGCAACACTAAAGCTCCAGATATCTGCATAAATAAAGAATGTGCCACCGGCTGGGGTAGGTAAGTAGATAAGGGCTTCATATATATACATATATATATGTTTGAGATCATATACATGTGTGTATAACTATATATATATATATTATACACATACATATATACACACATGCATCTAAACAAGTTGAATGCATGCATATATATATATATACATGTGTATATATATATATGTATGTATACACACATACACATGCAAAAAATACACATGTTGCACATGGGCATAATGCTCATTTCCGTTTTGACTCAAGCATGTATAACTGCTTCAAACTTGTCCAAGCTGAGCCGTCAAGGCCTCTGATCCGTCAATGTCTGAGAGCAATGGGGGCTCTTCAGCTCGCAGATGCATCCGATAACCCACTCCAACGTACAAGTCTGCATACTTGGCGATGCGAACAGATATTGTAGTGATGCTTCTCTACGACTCTACGAGGTCTCGTGCTATTTAGGAAATACATATGGGGTGCATGACCGACTCCTAGATAAAGAGGCTTTGAGTGTTGCGGCCCCGGCCTGCGGTGCCGACGTTTGGCCTCCCTGTGCGCTGGCCTGCCAGGAACTGGTGCTTCGCTCTCTCCCTCTCCCTCTCCGTCCATAAACGATCTATCCATCGATCTGTCTGTCTCTGTCTCTGTCCCTGTCCCTGTCCCTGTCCCTGTGTCTGTCTCTCTGTCTCTGTGTCCCTGTCTCTCTGTGTCTCTGTCTGTCTGTCTGCCTGCCTGCCTGCCTGGCTGTTTGTCTGTCTGTCTATTTGTCTGTCTGTCATCCATTTGTCTGCTTGCTGTCTATGCCAGGCTAGCATGCATCTAGCTATCTGTATATCGGTAACTATCTATCTCTCTATCTGTCTATCTGTTCACGCATCAAACGAAGGATCTATCTTTCTTTCTTTCTATCCATCTATCTGTCTGCATATCTATGGAGCAATCTGAATAAACAAATAAATGTGTATAGATATGCATATCTTCATTTTGTGTGTGTGCCAGCACGTACCTACTCGTAAGGACTGTCGGGCTAGATGTTTACATGTGCATTCGTACAAATGAATGTACGTATGAATGCATGCATCATTGCAGCACTTCTTCCTGATCGTACTCCACAAGCTCTACAAGTGGCGTAGGTCTGATGCAGGAACTCCGAAACCCCAGACGTGACTTTATGGTCTATAAGCTACAGGTCTTTCTTTACTAAGCAGGCTTCAGGGGTATAGGGAGGGCTTGGGATGTGGTCGAGCTCCATGCGAATCTCGGCTTCGGATACTGGTAGCCTTTGGTAACGGAAACACTCGGAAACACTCCGGGGAACCTTGAATCGAAGCCGTGCTAAATCCAAACCGGACCAACGGGATTAGTTTAACTTTGGAGAACAAATCAGCATGAGGTACTGGCAGCCCCTTGACTCACCAAAGGCTGCCAGAGCTCCAAATCCTAGACCCGGAATCTGAAACCTGACGCACAGCAAGCAGCTCAATTGTGCTCAATCGACCCTTTCAGTTCTGAGAGAAATCACAACTTCGGCAAACTGCCAGGGATGATCTGAAGAGCAAAAGTCACACAAAGAAGAAAACAACAAAGCGAAGTTCGCAGTTGAAACACAAAAGGAAGGGCAAAAGAGCCACGAGTTGAAGGAAGGCCCGAAGGCCTCCGAGGCCGAATGCAGATCCGTGGCGTCGACCAAAGCGAGCCCAGCATCCTCTTCTTTAGTGGGAGCGTTCCCTCCAAGCTCAGGCTTTCAGCGGCTGGGCCCATAGAGGTCCAGGGTGCACCGCATCGGTATATGTTGCGGAGGAATTTCAGATGTAGAGCTTGCGGCTTGCAGGTTTCGAGCTTGAACGGCTTCAGGGGCTTGGGACTTCAAGCGAGGAGGGCAGCTCTGGGGGTTTCGGTGGAGCTTTGGGGTTCAAGGCAGATAGCCTATTCCGAGCATAACCCCCAAACCCCAAACTTCAACGGTCCTGGGGCGACTTGCCCTTGATGGTGTCCAGGAACTTGCCCACCGGCGATTCAGCAGAAAGCCCCAAGGCCTGCACCAAAGTTTGGGGTCTGGGTCTGTGCGTTTATGTTGCATCACAGACCTTTCAGATTTCATGAATGGTCCCACTGGAAGGAGCTGGAATAGGACCTTAGGAGGACGACCGCCGTTAAAACCCTCAAGCTGTGGATTCTGGCTTCGCCTAAGAGCGCGAAGGGTCCATGTGCCCATGCAGCATATACTTTCGCATGTTAAGCTTACAGAGAGTTGCCTTGGGATCATTGCCTTGCACATCCTCTACGTTAGACCTTGACTCACTGACTGTTCTTTGCAGGGGTCCTCAACCCGACACCTAAAGTCTACTCTAAACCCGTAAAGCTCAATGCCTGAACTCGCAATTGCACTCTCAGGTATGATAGAGTACGCAACCTCAGTCCTAGATTCCTTTCTTGACCCGAAGCCTTCCAATCCTCACCCGGTGACCCGCATAAACTATCGGCGTACTTCTGCCTGGCTCGTCGTTTTGTGGATAGGACAGGATGAGCGGATCAGCACGAGGAATATGCACCGCAGTTAGAGCTAGCAAAGCCCGAAACAAAAAAGTGAGCCGTAGTCTCTTTTGGAGGCTTCGAGCACGATACGCCTTTGCTGTCAGGATCCGTTGCGCAAAGCTCCTGCGCTGAGTCTTTGAAAAAGGAGCGCCTGAACTATGTGTCCCGCAAGGACTCGCCCCTCTTATGTGGCCTCTGCATTGTTTGCCATGCTGTGAAGGCAAGCAATCGTCCCGCAGGCATTTCCGACATACCTGATGACATCAAGCTTCTTCCATCTCTCTCTTCCTCACTGCTCGGCCCCAGTCTCTGGCTGTCTGCTTCTGAAGCCGCCCCATCCCCGATTCGTGTGCATGTTCTGCATTATAAACAAATACATATATGTATGTATATATATATATGTATATATATATATGTGTATATATATATATATATATACATATATGGTACCCCCAAAAAAACCTAGGTTTTACTATTTGTCATCGTAAATAGCAGTGCTTTCATTACTTTTTCACCATTAGATTTTTGAGGTCGGAAAAGCAATGGTATGTTACAGTAGCTTACACTGGATTTCATGTGTTGCACAGATGTATCTTGTGACTTACATTATGATCTTTACTTTCTTTACTTCTGTATGGAAATTTGTTTTGTTTCATAAGGTAAGTATTGGAACCCACTACCTTCACTATAATCTCCATGTTGGGTTTATAAACTCTGTGCTGGGTTTATAAACCTTGGGGGGGGTGGGGAGGGTCTTGTGAAGTAACCTCTGCTGTGACGGATGGAGGAGTATAACTTAGATATGGACATTGTTCTGGGTTTGATGCGACAAATAGTAAAACCTAGGTTTTAGGGGGGGGTTGCATATATATATATATATTTATTTATTTATATATTTATTTATTTATTTATTTGTTTATGTGCCTATATACACAATGTAATATATACGCCACCCCTCGTGCCTGATAAGATGTGTCACCAGTCAGACCATAAGCCCCTCATGGCCGAGATACCGTGGTTTATACTGACACAAAAGCAGTGTCAGCTGAAGGCATAAAAACCGGACTTTTCCTTCATAGCGACCCCTGCGCCGTAAACCTCTAAACTCTAGACTCTAAGTCCAAAGCCTTGAATCCCTGAACCAACTAAGCTTAAGACTGTAAAAGCGGAACCCCCGACATCCTAAACTCCTGAACCCTAACAGTGTTCCAAACTCGGGCTGTCTGAAATTCAACAGTATAACAATATGCAGTTACATTCACAAATATGGAAACTGAGCTAACTCTGCATTATAAGAATGTGCCTGTGTATAGGCCCAGGCCGAATTCCTGTTCACAGACATAGAGGCTGCCATGCTCGGCTACATGCGTTTGGCTTTCGTGCGTGGCTGCAACACCTAACCTGAACCTGCACAATCTGCATACACGCTTCGTGTACGTTTGGTCTCAGCTTCGGGTAGACCTAAACCCTAAGGTCCAATATCATAAATGCTGGTCACTGTTTCAGGTACACCAGCTTGTCGCTGACCTTCTGGCCATCCTTCTCAATGGCAAGCCGTTGGGCCTGCACGATGCAGATTGGCGAAAGTACTGAAGAGCCATATCAGACCTGCTTCACACCGTGTGGTTCCTCCGCACACTCAAATGAGAAAGCCCGAGAACTCCTCAAGTCTCAACCAAGTCAGGCGTCTCTATATAGACTCTCTACGATGGCATCGCCCACCTGAACTTCCTTGCTTTGGTTGCCCTTGTCTTCAGACATCTGTTTTAAAGTAACCACATGACACTTCACCATGGCGCTAGCAGAGAGAACCGTCAGGTGAGTATAGTTTCTTGTGAGACTTGATCTCGGTTCTCGCGTCGGCAGCTGACCGGCGCAATACTTGTGCATGGCCCCATCGACTCCCGCTGAAATTTGACTTTAACCGATCAAGTGACCAACATGTCACTTCAAGGAGCAGGCTGCATGCATGCGAACGGGCACACCTGTCAGACTGCACCAGGCGCCCCATGTCTGCCTGCCTATCCTAATACGAAGAAGTCTCCAACGTGGGCACGTCACGCTACGTTATGTGTCCCACCTCCTTCGCTTCACGGATCTTGTCCGAGCTCTGGAACAGCAAAGTGACAGCCTGCCACACTGTTATCACCGGGACAAGCTGGAAACCACCCCACAGATGAGCTTCGGACGAGCCGTGTGGGTGGCACCATAGCCAGTAACTCCGGATCGGTACCTGAATTCGAATCGGGGTTTGGGGCTTCGGATGTTAGCGCCATCTTAGTTCCAATATGTTATGGACCCTACACGACATGACGCTGTGGCAAGGAGTCCAAATTCGAGAGCGGTGTCTCAAGCGGAAAGTTCAGGCTTGGGGTTTTGAAGTTCGGGATGGGAGGGCAGGATTGCATGCACAGCACACCTTGAGACATGTCGATGTTGCCAACACGAAACCTGCAAAGTTCGGAGGGTTGGAGTTAAAGTTGACGAGCAACGGAATTCCATTAGACTCATTAGACCACAAACTTGCTGAGTAGACTTCGTTCCTTTCCTGGTCTCCCGGATTTGTACCCGAAGCCTCGAAAACTCGAAAGCAAAGGTCCCAACGTCTCGGGCACCGAGGGGATTTAAAAGAACAGCTACGTACAGCGTCAGACTAAAGCCCTAGATCCCCCAGCCTTCATGACACAGCCTGAAGACATGGAGGGGTGGGTTTTTTCGGAATACAGCCAGCATGCAGGATGTCTACATTCAGGGTTCAGTGTTTAGGGGTGCTCCAACATACAGCCCAATACGACAGGGTCTCTTGCTCTGCCAACTTGCGAATGCTGCAGATTATTAGGACGTTTGATGTTGATGTCTCTACAGGATTGAAGGCAAGGCATCTCGAAGTACAGAAAACATAGGTGCGCGGGTTGGATTTGGTTACTGAGTGGAGGCAATATCCAAGTTCTAAGGATTAGAGGGTAGGGCCTCTTCGACATCAGCCAAGAAATGAACAACATCGCAGATTTTTGAGTCAAGCGCATGGCAATCCGAGTGCCTCACCGACTGGGCATGCAAGCTTAGGGCAGGGCTTAGGGCTTAAGGCTGAGTTTTAGGGTTTAGTTTAGGGCCGCCCGAAACCCCAAAACCAAAATCCCCACGAACAGTCATGCTTCTGGAGAAGCATTGTCAAGCCTCTGAGCATACTTGTTCTGTCCACAAACACAATACAACAATATGAGCTAACCTTGAAGTCTAAACCTGTTGCGTTCAGTCCAACACAAGATCCACAAGACTTACGCGCAGCGGTTTGCTAACGACAAACTACTGAATGAAGAGTGGCTGTTGGTAAAAAGACTGGCAAGCGACGACAAACAAGAAAGGACCAGAACAAGAGCAGCACCAATAAATAGCAGCATCAAAAGCAACAGCAACAGCAAAAACAGCAACAGCACCAACAGCAACACCACCCGTCACCAGCAGCCACGGCAACAACAACAACCACCACCACCACCATCACCACCACCAGCACCGCCACCACAACCACAACCACAACCACAACCACAACCACAATTTGCAATTGGACGCGGTGCGAGCGTACTCTGCACGTGGCGGGCATTTGCCGCGCTGGCACTCTCTAAGCTAAGACATTGTGACAGTGAGACCTAGCAAGACAGCAAGACATGACATGAAGAGGAACATGAACTGAAGACACTAAAGCCGCTCAGACTAGGTACAATGGTCGGGCTTTGTACAGCTTTGTGCAGCTTGCTTGCAGCTCACTTGAACGTTCCGTACCTATGCAAAGTGGCAGTTAATCGTGGCAAACTGCCTGGGATCACCTGCAAACTGGACGCAAATTGCCAACTCTTTTGCACTGCAGCTGTGCTCGCTGCTACTGTGGAAGAGAGCTGTCCACGGCGGCTAAAAGGGGTTGGCAGAGCCACCGGGTTTGCAAGAACGGCCCAAGGCCCCGCGGGACTAACTAAGGAAGGCTACCTGTTCCAGCGCCATCAGCTGGATGAAGAGTGCCAATCCGAAGAATGCCACCACGAGTTGTCATCCCATTTCTTGCGGGATTTGGCGTTGTCTTCTTTCTGCCTTTTGTCCGAGACGGGGCCCGGGTCTTCGGATTGACGCTTGTCCACAAGCTTGGGACGAAGCAGCCTCAGCTTGGCCGGAGTGTCGCCAACCTCATGATCAATGCGCATCTTCCGAACCTTCGCCCCCTCCTTAGGCATATAAATGATGAGGCGGTTTATCAGGCCGCATGTTCGGCAGGTTTGATCGTAGATGGCCTTGACGGTGGAGGCCACGATCTCGAAGTTGTCGTCCGTTTCCAAGGTTTC